CATATTTGGTAAAACCTACAGTGCTATCAAATGCATTGTAATTGGGCTCACCTCTTACCCCAGCCGATATTGTTTCAACGTTGTTAGGACTATATGGCCCAACGCCAATGCTTTTCGCCAGTACTTGAGCAACATACAACTTTCTTACTCCTAATCTCCATAAAGGTAAAGTATCGGCTTTTATGTGATAATCTGTTCAGACTGTCCTTTCAAATTGAGCCACTCACGCCTAGAAAATAATTTTAAAGAGATTCGATCAAACAATGACTTTTTCGAGTCGGTGTATTCCATTATTCTGACTGTCTTATCTGATCACCTTAGACTAGAAGACTCTTCGAGCTAATTTTTCATTCGAAAGCGAGCAACTTTCACTATAAATTAGTTGACATATATTCATCAACAACATTTGAAAACGCCGTTTATTATTCCTATTCTTCCGTCATCACTGTCGTTTTTCGTTATGGTCTGCGCAGTATTCATTCACAGTTTTTCAATTAGTAAAATGGAATAAATCTGGTATATCAGACTGCTAAACCTACTAATTTATACCCACAATGATGCAGAAATCGTCCCTATAATTTCTGCTGCTTGCATTGCGCTTTTGTCAAGTTGGACCAAAGCTTTTTAGTCATTTTCACTATTGCGTTAACTGCCGTATTTCTTAACATGCGGAAGTTTTGAGGTGAATATTATTTCGAAAGTTGCGGCTCAAGGAGTTTCTTTGTAGTAACTGGCAATCTCATAAAAGAATTTTTCAAGTTGACTCAGGTTGCTCGTAATGTTAACTGTGGTCTGACTGGCGCTTTGTTTAGGAACCTAGCGATTTTGTACCGCAGTTGTATACGTGGGCAGCAAAAGATAACTCAAATGAGCTCTTACGAGCCTACTCATTTGGCCTTTTGGCGTCTGCACTTGAAGCGCAAGGAAATGCACACAAATACCGACTCAATAACATCGACCTGCTCCCGGTTGCACTTCGAAGACTTGCAGAGTTGAAGGTTTGATATAATCCCTTTTTCTCATGCACTTTTCGTATATTATATTCTGCTTCAGACTCGTATGTTTGAGGAACGTGCTTTGGCCGAGCAACAAAACGCTACAAATGGGGAAGACCAACATCGCAGCGATTCTCCGGGACCTTTCTCGAATGTGAATGGTTTGGACACAGAAGAGATGAGTTCAGTAAGTAGAGCGCTATCGTTGTATGTCAGATATTGATAAGGTATAGGTTGTTCCATGACTTTGTGAGATTATTAGATGTTTAGGATGGTCAGGCTGGTGGCAATTCTAGCAATGAGAACACGAGGTTGAGCGGAAAAAAGACAGAAGACCCCGTTGCACTCACTGCTCCGAGACCTAGAGGTAATGCATAGAGTGCCTATTGTTCCTGCTTTTTAAACATGTTATAGACTTTGAGAGTACATGGTGATCTCATTCTATTTTAGCTTTTCTAGCTCTTCGGTTTTGGGAAAGCCCTTATACAAATATTATTCATCCATACAGTGCCTTACGTAGAGTTATGGTAAGCGCGATATATGCAGTCATATTTTCAGAAGTTTCTGTAAATATTCAATTGAGTCTGTGGCGGCTGAATTCAAAAATTATATCTGTCGGCTTAATCGCTTTTGCAATATGAGTAGCCAAACTTTTTTACAAGGCAGCACTCTGGCGTAGAGGATACAGGGACAAGGAAAGTATTATTTTCAAATTCGGCGTACCGGGGAACTTTTCTCTAAATGTTTTCCAAAAATTCTGAGGATGGCCCATTACAGTGTGTTAC